TATTTTCGGTTTTCCCATGCTGTCGGCAGTGGCTTTTACTTTTATGGAATTGCTGGTGATTTGTTTTTTTTTATCAAGTCATTATTGGGCTTTCTCAATCGCTGAATACATACATCGGCATCTTTTTATGATGTTATTTGTTGTAAGTATGTTTTTTTACACTAAGTATCTGTAAGTATTAGGGTAGCTAATAGTGAAGCTAAATAGAAAGGCGATAAAGTAGATTAAATATAGTACAAGATATGCAAAAATTAATGAATTTTGTTTCTTTTTTAATTCATATTTTGTTATTACGTCATATTTTTCATGAATTTACTCTAATAGGATGATATATTCTTATAAAAAATTACTATTAAAACAACTACATACCTGCATATTTATTGTTAATGACGATGGTAATGATTATTGATCACTTATTTTAGGTAAATTGTTAATTCTTTTGTCTGTTTAGGTAAAACACTTCTTGAATGAATTCATTTACTACATCAAACAATTTGTATTATTAATAGGTGTTTTTATTAATTATTATTTGTGTAGTGGTAATCTTGAATATACAAAATTCTGAACCACTATAAGATGGTTCTAGTAAGTGACTACAAATAACTTATCACTTATTTAAAATGATTGCTATTGGTATATAACAAATGCCTCTACAAGAGAATAAATAAGTAGGTAATACATTAAAACGCGTCAAATGTTTATAGGTTTTTCTATTGATTTCATTATTATCTGCTCAAGAGTGAACAGTGAGCTTGTGTGAACATGTTCAAGACAATGAAGAGTGTTACGAATTTGCTGAAATTTTACAGCAAAATCGGCTATACCACAAGCTTAACGCCTTGGAAAAGAAACATCATCAACATCTACAATATATTTTATTTTCTTCTCTTCTTTGTATCGAACCTAGCTGTGTTAACAAATTCTTCAAATATCTTAGCGACTATTCCTACTATTAATATCTCACAAACGTATTTCATAATTGCGATTGTTTTGTTTAAAATGGCTACAAACTGGCTATGCTTCATAAAAATGTTAAGAAGCTACCAGACTTGGGACAAATTCTTCAAGACCATTTCATCGTTGGAAAATGATTGTAACTTGACGACTTCGTGGTGGAGTATTATTTTAAGGATACTTTTTTATATTTCTTCAAATATAGTGTGCAGTGGGCGATTACTGGGAATATACATACTAAGAAATAATTACACTTTATCCGGTACGAGTTTAGTCATAAACGAAATAAACTGCTTCAATATCTTAAATTTAGCGACTTTTTTCACTTACGATGTTTCGCTGATTGTGCATAAACAATTAGATTTTCTAATTGGGCGCCTCGAAGATTTTGTACACTGTAGAGAAAGTAGTAGTACAACTAAATTAAAAAACCTGAAGGCGGATTACGTGAGATTGAACTTGATATCCGGATATTTCACAAATATTTTCGAATATTCCATGCAGAGCCTGGTGGCTATTACTTTTTTGGAAGTGCTAGTAATGTGCAACTATCTAATGGTTTCAAATACAGCGTCATTTAGGGCAACACTGCTATCGCAACGATACATATTTACCTTTTGCTACATCTTAGTATTTATTGTAAGTATTTTTTTGTACATTAGCTCTTATTCAGGCTAGTACATTGCTAAATTAATGAAAGAAACGTTTTAATAAAACTAAGTGAATTAAAAAAAACGATGAATACTTAATGAACAATTAATGACTAAACCATTTGTTTGATATGTTGGAAAGTTGATGAATATAGTTTTCATGTACGATTAGGTAAATATTGTATTATAAATACTTTCATTACGAGCGAGAACCATGAGAGAAGATACTAGCTTAATGAAGTTTTACTACAAAATCGGTTTTGTTACCGGATTGATCCCGATGAAGAAAAAAGGCAAATTAAACAACGCTTTAATCTTATTTTGGTTGTCGAATTTGTTCGCAATAACAGCGATTTTATTCTACGTAAATGTAGATTTTGTAAAATGGCTACAAAATGAAGAAAAACTCTTTATCAGTGTTATCATATTATGTCATTTCTCAACAAATTGTGTGGCCTTTTCCAAACTGGTTACAACTCGTAACACATGGAGGAGTTTTTTCAAATGCGTTTCCTTAGTAGAAAATAATACAAATAGAGGTATCGATAACCGAAGACTGTTTATCAGGATTATTTACGTAATTTTATCGTTTATTTCCTGCTATGTTTATTTCATTGATGTAGGGTTCAAAAGATTCAGACTAGGTGGAATGGCTATCTACTCGACTTTGGTAATGGACATAAATTATTGCCACCTTGTAATACTCACAGTGGCATTTACTATTGAGGTTTCAAGATTCGTATTAAACCGTTTGGATTATTTGGAATTCAAGCTCGAAAATTCCGTGAAAATAAACAGTTTAGTTGAGTTAAGAGAGATAAAAATCTTTTATCTAATTCTAAGAGACGTGACGATTTACTTCAGACGAGTGTTTCGTAGTTTCATGTTTATGGCAATTGTTAGTACAGCTTTGGATGTATTAATTATGTGCAATTCTATAGCCAAACATAAATTTAAAGTAACCGAGTCTTTGGAGTTTAGAATCATTCCATATATGATAACGATTTTTGTAAGTAGCCCGAAGTTACCGTTTAAAAAATTCATCTTTAATTTCTGTTGTTGCAGATTTTCACGACAATACTAGCCTATTCCTGCGGAAACGTGGAGGAAAAAGTGAAGGAACTCAGGAAAACCTGCTTCACCCTACAAGCAGGCATCACGGACCGTCTTCTGATCAGCGAATTGAACTACCTTTCCAAGTTCTTCAAAGAAATGCAGCCCAAAATGTGGAGCTGCGGCTTCTTCAACGTCAACAAGCATTTTCTGCCCGTTATGATGTCCAGTCTCACCTCTTATGTGATCATTTTGATCCAGTTCCATTCGCAGGAGCAACAACAAGAAGAGTAGTTTTTTTCTAGTTTCATTCAAAGCCCGTTCTTGTATTGAGTGGGTAGACAATGTGCACGATTTTAGGATTTGCACAATTTTATGATTAGTAAAAACATAAATTTTTCCAATTATTTTCTGATACTTTGTATTAAGATTAAACAAGGATAGGACCGACTGCTACTGTTTTTTGACGATCTGCAAATATCATAAATCCAGCGAGATAGCGGAAAAGTCGCGCAGGTATAAAGGAGCAAACGAAAATCCGGCAGACTCACCGGTGAGAAAGATAAGGAAGGCACAATCGCCGCATGTAAACTACTCTCTAATATACGTATGCATGCATTTCCCTCCAGAATATTCCGATTGGTATTCGAAATGCAGAAAGTCGATTGTTTTAATTGTTTCTCTGTAGCCGTGTAGCGAGAAACGTTGCAGCACGTAGATCCTAAATGTCCTAAATGTTGTAATTTGAATGTTATTGCGAGCAAACGAGATGCCGTTTTCTTTGTAAATATATATCCTGTAATTTTAATGGTTGTTATTTAGAAACCTTCGATAATATTAACTACCTCAAACACTTTATTAACATTACTTGTATACATTTCCTTGAAGAATTCTTTTCAATTACCTATAGTACTTTTTACAAATCTACATTTATGCTGGATTTTTTTATAATCCCTTTTAGTTGGAAACATGATGCAGGAATTGCAGTTCTGCAACATAACGAATTTTCCAGATATTCATCCAACATTCCTTATTCACACACCTATATAACATCCGACTAATCACAATAACTCCGAAGATATATACACAAGCGAGCTCCCGATGTAGCAGCAGTAAAGAGCACTAACAGCAGCGCGGCGATTGCAATCTCCAACTAATTATCATGATGCATGGTATTAGTTGGAGACGATTTCCGACCGTGCCGTTCGTCGTAAATAATAAATCGGGGCGCGGAGACCGAGAGGGCGAACGAAAGGGCCTCGGGGCTCAACTCGACGTTTACCTAGCAGTCATGCGGTTCCCATAAGCTCCGAGTTTATGGCGTAGCTGGATTTCTGGATCTCAAACGTGTTCCATCGAGCGTTTATGTAGTATGTATGCGCGTTCAAATACTCCACGCTTCCGTTCGCCGTTTGATATACAAGGCGTTCTAAATTAAATTGATGTAGTATTTATAGGAATGCATCGGTTTTTTAGAGCATATTTGCTGAATTGGATGATATGGCTCTAAATTTGGAAAGGGGAAAAGATTACGGGGTATTTGGTGTTTCCATTTTTGGAAGTTCATTAATGTGATTACTAAAAACCATTTCAATTACCTACAAGTTTTTCTTAATTGTGTATTTTTGTGTAGGTATATCCAAAAGCAATCAATCAATGAAACAATTACATGTAAAGTACATTTCGTTCGTCAGTAAAACGTTTATGGTAGGATAATTAACACCAAATTTCTGTTATAAAAAAAACTTTACCATGTTGAAGTATTGTGTGGTATTGTTGTTTGGTGCAATTACTTTACAATGCAATGAAAATTTGTTAGAAGCATGTCTAAGTCATCTGATATTGAATAATGTGAGTGAAAATGAAACTATTCTTTTCGTAAACACCAACGCAAGAAGTGGATCGCAATTGAAGATGTATTATAATATTAGTGAAGAAATCAATTCTATCATTACAACTCCCAAACCTGACGTTTACATTATTTCTAATAATATCACGGAATCATTAAATGTAATGAACGACAACTACTTACTTGATAATAATGGCAAGTTTATATTTATCGTAAACCAATTAGAAGAAAAATTATTAAATACGATTGAACGATACTTCGTAAGCAAAATAGTTTTTATCATCACCACAAATGATAAACAAGAGTTCTCCAACAAACATCACAAAGTAATTTTACTTAACGATTGCTTAGTTAACAAACATTTAAATATTTTTAACGGTACTTACTTAGAAACCACAAACGAGTTAAAACTTTTGTACACAGCAACCAAACCTTACTCCATGAGTCCGAAGGAAGGTATCCTCGTGGAATTCCTTAATACAGTTTTAACCCACATGAAAATTCGATTCAAATACTTCATGTCTTCGCTACCGAAAAGTTCGATAAACCTACCACCTGAGGTGGAGTCGAGACGATTCGACATTTACGCCTCGTTTATCCCTCAAAAATTAAGTAGCATCAGATTTTTCCAGTTTAGTTCTCCGATTTTGGACGACCACAGCGTTTTGGTTGTGCCAAATATCGAAGCTTACGATTATTTTAAATTATTCTACGCCGAATTCTATACGAAAGTTTGGTGCGCTATCATCGTAGTTTTAATTACAGTTTACCTGGTGTTTTATGCCATAATTTATCTTCTACCTAGTAGGAATTTTTCTGTACTCATGTTGATTTTGAGCGTGATATTCGAAGGGGTGACTTCAGTGAGGAACGCGAACAGGAGTTTTAGAATTTTACTGCTGAATTACCTGCTATTTGGTTTGATAATTACGAATGTTTACAAAAGCAAGATGTTCGACCTGTTGAGAAGAGATTTCCATTACGAATTGGTAAAAAATGAAGAAGATATTATGAAGAACAGATTGAAATTCGGGATTAATTCAATACAAGTTTTGCACAATTTGGAAACTTGGTTTCCTCCCACGGTGAATTTAACAGCGGAAAATCTCGTGTTTTTCTGCAAGCATTACGATGAATGCGTTAACAGGACTTTATACGAAAAGGACGTGGTGACGATTAGTCTGATTAGAAGTATTCATTACGACTTTTTCACGGTATTCGAGGATGCAAATAAAAAACCAATGGCGCATTTTATACCGACCCAAAGCACCCAAGTTTACGTACCAGTTTATTTTCTGAAAGGTCATCCGTTGTACCAGAAAATCAATAGGAAATTATCCGTTGCCAAAGCAAGCGGATTTGCCGAATTCATTTACCAGAAATACAGTCGGGCTTACAAAAAAATCGTCGGACTGAGGAAGGACAAAATTTCCAAAACGTCGCAACTAACAATGAATTCATTGAAGAGCACTTTCGGCCTTTATTTAGTTTGTGTGGTTTTTAGCACGATTGTATTCACTTTGGAATTAATTATTTATAAAATTAAATAGATTTTATGATAAGTGTAACCGATTTAAAGTATAATATAATTTAAAACAATCTTCATTATATTGTGAAATTTTAATAAAAACTAATATTAAATTACAATCTCGTAACTCCATTATTCTACAACCACATAACCATTTCATATAACCAATTGCTTGATTGTCTAAAATTCCTTTCAATTAATTAATTTTTTTCCTCTTTTTTACAATTTATTAATTGTGCAGACTTCCAATCATTAAATATGTATACAAATGCGATCAATCAATCAAACCGAGCATTTACAGTATAAATACATTTGGTTTATTATTAATATTTAAGGCAAGATAATCAGAACAAACTCGCTTAGAAAAATTATTCCGTCATGTTGAAGTACTTCGTGGTGTTCTTTTTTGGCGCAATTACTTTACAATTCAACGAAAATTTGTTGGAAAAGTGTTTAAACCGACTGATATTGAATGACGTGAGTGAAAATGAGACTATTCTCTTTGTAAACACCTTCGTCAGAAACGTATCACAATTGAAGATGTATTACATTAACGAAGAATTTAATTCTATCATAACAACGCCTAAACCTGACGTGTACATAATATCAAACAATATACCGCAATCTTTAAATTTAATTAATAAAAAGAATGTATTTGATAATAAACGCAAGTTTATATTTATAGTAAAGAAATTGGATCAAATATTAATAGATCATATTAAACGATATTTCGTTTGGAAAGTTGCTTTTGTCATCACCACAAATGATAAACCAGAATTTTCTAAGAAAGAGTACACGGTAATTTTACTTAACGAATGCTTAGTTAACAACTATTCAAATATTTTTAATGGTACTTACATAGAAAATACGAACGAATTGAAAGTGATGTACACGGAATCCAGACCTTATTCTATAAATTCTAACGAAGGCATCATTACAGAAATACTTAATTTAGTACTAACAAACATGAAAATTCGATTCACTTACACAATGTCTACTCTACCGGAAAACTCTATGATACTCCCACCTGAGATGAAACTAAGAACTTATGATATTTACGCATCGTTTGTTCCTATTAAATACGCTAATACTAGATTCTTCGAGTTCAGCGCTCCAATTTTGGACGATGACAGTGTTTTTGTTTCGCCAAATATCGAAACTTACCATCTTTTCAAATTATTCTACACCGAATTCAAACCGAAAGTTTGGTGTATTTTCATCGTAACTTTAATTGCAGTTTACTTGGTGTTTGTTGCGATAATTAATCTTCTACCTAGCAAGAATTTTTCCGTGCTCATGCTGATTTTGAGCGTGATATTCGAAGGAGTGACATCAGTTAGAAATGCTAGCAGGAGCTTTAGAATTTTACTGGTGAATTACCTGCTGTTTGGTTTGATAATTACGAATGTTTACAAAAGCAAGATGTTCGACGTGATGAGAAGCGATTTCAGTTACGAGACTTTGAATAATAGGGATGATATTATGAAGAACAAATTAAAAATTGGTGTGAATTCTTTACAAGTTCTTCGGAGTTACGAATATTGGTTTTCCAGCCATACGAATTTAACTGAGGAAAACCTTGCATATATATGCAAGGAGTACAACGATTGCATTAACAGAACATTGAACAGGAAAGATGTTGTGACGATCAGTTTGGTCAGAATCCTTAAACACGATTTTTCGATTTTCCTTGACGAAAACAAAAATCCCCTGGTGCATTTTTTACCATCAATGAGTATGCAAAGTTTCATGCCGATTTATTTCCTAAAAGGCCATCCGCTGTTTCATAAAGTCAATAAAAAATTATTCATCGCCAAGGAGAGCGGATTCATCGATAACCTTTACAAGAAATACAGTCGGAATTTCGATAAAATCGCCGAATTGAGGAAGGATAAAATTTCCAAAACGTCGCAATTAACAATGAATTCATTGAAGAGCACTTTCGGTCTTTATTTAGTTTGTTGTATGTTTAGCGTAATAGCATTTACTTTGGAATTAATTATTTATAAGATTAAATAGATTTAGGCTGGTAAAACTAAAATAAAGAAGAAAAGAATTGTTTAGTTGCAAAGAGTTATTTTACAGAAGTTGTTTGGCTATTTGGTTATTCAATTTTCATAGGTAAGATTCTCCTTAATTACTTACTATTAATTTCTTCTGGGAATTCTATATTTATTTCTTCGTTAAATGGAATTATTAATAAATAATAGTTTTTTTTAGTTTGTCTATTATTGAAATGCCTATTAATCAATCAACCAAATGAACTATTTACATTAGGAATACATTTCGTTTATTATTTATGCTTATGAAGCGAGGTAATTGTTACACACTCGGTTATAAAATTTTCTCGTCATGTTGTTGTATTTGATGGTGGTGTTTTTCAGTACAATTAATGCACAATTCAATGAAAATTTATTGGAAGAATGTTTAAACCGCCTGATATTGAATAATGTGAGCGAAAATGAGACTATTCTCTTTGTAAACACCTACGTAAGAAACGTATCGCAATCGAAGATGTATTATAACATTGATGAAGAATATAAAAGTATCAAACCAACTCCGATACCAGATGTTTACATTATGTCAAATGATATTGTACAGTCTCTAAATTTAACCAACAAAAACAATGTATTTGATTATAAACGTAAGTTTATATTTATAGTGAATCAAATAGAACAAAAAATACTGGACGATATTAAACGATATTTCGTTAGGAAAGTTGTTTTTGTCATCACCACAAATGATACACCAGAATTTTCCAACAAACATTACACAGTAGTTTTACTCAACGATTGCTTAGTTAACAGTTATTTAAATATTTTCAATGGTACTTACATAGAAAATACCAACGAATTGAAACTGATGTACACTGCAACCAGGCCCTATTCAATGAACTCGCAGAAAGGTATCATCGTAGAATTGCTTAATTTAGTTCTAACGAACATGAAAATTCGATTCGCTTACAATTTGTCTGACCTCCCGGAAAATTCTATAAATCTACCGGCTGACGTGAGGTTAAGACTTTACGATATTTACGCCAGTTTTATACCTTTGGAATACGGTAATACCAGATTTTTCGAGTTCACCGTTCCGGTTTTGGACGACGAATCCGTTTACGTTTCACCAAATATCGACACTTACGATCATTTTAAATTATTCTACGCAGAATTCAAACCGAATGTTTGGGGTGTTACCATCGCCGTTTTTATTACAGTCTACCTGGTGTTTAATGCGATAATCCATCTTCTGCCCATCGAGAATTTTTCCGTGCTCATGCTAATCTTAAGCGTGATATTCGAAGGAATTACATCAGTGAGGAACCGGAGTAAGAGTTTTAAAATTTTACTGGCTAGTTACTTGCTGTTCGCATTGATAATGACCAACGTTTACAAAAGCAAGATGTTCGATGAAATGAGAAGCGATTTTGGCTCGGAGTTGGTGAAAAGCAGCGAAGATATTTTGAAGAACAGATTGAAAGTCGGGACGTCTTCGCTGCGAGTCTTGAAAAATTTCGAAAATGTATTTTCGCCTTATGTGAATTTTACGGCGGAAAATCTGGTGTACATGTGCCCGAAGTACGATGATTGTATCAACAGAACGTTAACTACAAAAGATGTCGTAACAATTAGTCTCTCCAGGATCGTTAAATACGATTTTTCCAAGGTTTTCATAGACGAAGACAAAAATCCACTTGCGCACTTCGTACTGACTAGGAGCTTTCCTTCTTACATGCCGATTTATTTCCTAAAGGGCCATCCATTGTTCCACAAAGTCAACAGAAAATTGATCATTGCTAAGGAAAGTGGACTTATCGAAAGCATTTACAAGAAATATAGTCGGGAATACGATAAAATCATCGGATTGAGGAAGGATAACATTTCCAAAACGTCGAAATTAACCATAAAATCATTAATGAGCACATTTGGCATTTATTTTGTTTGTGTTATTTTATGCACGATTGTATTTTGTGTGGAATTAATTACTTAACTTAAAACCATTTGTTGAAAACATATTGATTGAATCTGAAAAAAAAATACTTACTTAAATTTTCTTGGTGTAAAATGTTTGTATGTAAAATTGTGTAGGTAATAAAAATTGTAATTTATGACATATTTGTAATAATTAATAAGCTTTTCATTTTTTATTGTTCCATTAATCATGCAAGATACCTAATAGATAAGCGAGAAAATGAAATTGTAGGATACTTAGAATTTTTCCGTTTAGTCTTCAACAAAATGTTTAATGCAGATATGCAGTTTCGACTAGATTTTTTGTTTAACTTCGGTCAAATTGTGGGAATATTACCTTTACTGACTACCCGTAATTTCCGAAATGTATTACAAATTGTTTTTTTAATCGGGATATTTTTGATAGCCTCGTTTAGTTTTGTGCTTAAATTTATTCACACAGATAATAGCAAAATATTTAAAGATGATATAGTAGTTGCAAAAATAAAAGTCATGCAACATGTAACAATATTTTTTTTAGAAATAACACATCTTTGCATTTATTTCGCTAAAACAAGAAGTTGGAAGACGCTACTTAATAAAACACCCAGCAGACATTTTATAACCTATTTTTCCAGGTACTCGAAGTGGAAATTTATAATAAAAATTTTGGTACTGATACCATTACATATAGGAATCCAATGTACCCGGGTCTTTTACTTCTACACCAGCAGTATCGGCTTATTTCTCAACATGATAGTCACATCCTTCAGACTTGTGATAATGATAAACTTTTTCCTAGAAAACTTGCGAATCGTGGAAACCAAAATGGAACTGTTAAAATTGGATCTCATCAAAGCAATACGAAGAGGCACCTATTCAGAACGATTTGTAGCGACATTCAAAACGTCCTACAAAATTTCCTACCAGCACATCGAAGCTCTTAATGTTATATTCGGCGAATACTACACTTTTATTGTCATCGTCCTCTATCTCAAAGCACTGGAAAACATGATTCTTATAACCATGCAAGCTGTTACACAAACTGGATACGGTTTTATGGAAAACATCGTGTTCTCCTCGTCGCTAATTTATGATGTTGTAAGTATACAATATTCATCAATTTCAATCAAATTTGATGTAAGGTTTTATATCCAATACATCCCTGTTATTTCTATAATATTTAATCCAATTTTCGATTAGGTATATTATATTTACATTAGTTCGCGTTTTAATTTAATCACATCAGGTCAAAGCTTGTGTTAATCCAGATAGAATAATGGGAACTCGGTGTAAAGACGATATAGTAATGAATTTTTGCTACAATTTGGGAAAATTGTACATGCACCCGCTGACTAAGCGTAAAAGCGCATTTAATTCGGTGCAGATTGTTTTATTCGGAATTTACACGGTGATCGCTCTGGTTTACAATTCTTTTCGAGTATCAGATTCTTTATCGATGAACACACCCGGGCCTAACAAGTTTATAATGAGCTTGTTGTACTCCCAAGCTATGTTAACTCACGTTTGCTATTTTTACGGATTAGTAACGAGAAGAAGGAACTGGAACGCGATGAGTAAGAAACTGGCAATAGTAACTAATCTATTAGGATGCAACGATATATCCAGGACTACCGCGTTTTTCAGAATAGGAAGAGTTATTCTGATGCTGATACTCATCAACCTGTCTATCGTAAACGTTATTTTATTTATCAATATTAAAGGCGTCGCTTGGAGCGTCACAATTAACGTTATCATCGTGAGTTGTATGACAATCAACACTGAAAAAATTTTGGTACATAATATCAATGAACACCATGTTTTCAACTTGTTTTCATTAGCTCAATAAAATAATACATTAATCCAATAAATTTTCATTCATTAGTTAATGAATTCATTTATTAACTCAATGTTTCTTGTAACATTAATTATTAATGTAAAATTTCATTAACTCAATAACAATTTTTATTAATTCAATGAAATTTAATCATTAATATAATAACCTAGTACATTAAAAGCGAATATTTCAGTTAATGTATTCGATACATTAAATCAAAGTAACTTGTACATTAATATAACGAATTGTTCATTCTTTTAATGAAATTTAATTATTGAACCAAAAACATTAATACATTAGTTCGATAAACCACATTCGTCATTTTTTATGTTGCCCGTACATTGATTCAACAAATTGAGTACATAAATCCTATGTTCGAGTTCATTGAGCCAATGAACGCATATACATCATTAGTTCGATAAAACACATTCGGCATTTTTAATGTTGCCCGTACATTGATTCAACAAATTTAATACATAAATTCTATGTTCGAGTTCATTGAGACAATGAATGCATATACATTGGTTCGATAAACCACATTCGTAATTTTTTATGTAGCCCGTACATTGATTCAACAAACTGGATACGTAAATTCTTGTCTCGAGTTCATTGAGTTAATGAACGCTTTTCATTAAGTCAATGAATATCAGTTTGGATTTTGGCAATACACACTAGAGTGCAAATCTATGCCGTTCTATTCTATTAGAAAAAAAGAAATAGATAGAGACGCTTTCGAAAATCGCGATGACCGTTAATTACCCCTCTTTCTCTCCTGTTATTTCGTGTTGAAGCGTTGAACTGGAAGTGTTCGGTTTAGTTAATTTCGTTTTCGTTTTGTATTATAAGAAGGAAGAAAATTCAAGCGCTGTTGTTTTAAGAGGTAAGCATTTTTTTAATTCGGTACACTATAGGTTAATACTTATACATTTTATTTCTAGGATTTAATTTTAAACACAAACGTAAAGCCTAAGGGAGATATAAGTGCAACAACTTCAAGATTCATACAAAATGTGTGTTTTTATGGTTTTTACTACAACTCATTAAATTATTGGATATATTAAATTTTTAGGCCCCAAAGACATTTGTGAAACGTGCATAAGACTTCTGAAGTTTGAAAATTTATCATCGGAAGAGTTCGACGTATGCAGCATGTATTGGAACTTCGCTTGAGTGACATAAAAAACGCACAAAAATTCAGATGATAAAATGAACTTATTACAAACGACCATCTGGATATAGCTTGGTGAGTACCTTCAATAGTATACCTACCTATACACCGTGCTTCATTCGCGATTGCAACATGAGCATTTCTTTGAGTTGAACAAAGAAATATTAGTAAAATAACAGTTGTCAGAGTGAAAAGTTGCAATGACATAATATCATACTGTTTCTTTTTCCTTTACAAGTGTCTAATTGAAGTTATCTTTGTTGCACCCATAGCCTATGTTGCAATCTATATACTTACTGGATATGTAGATAGGAATTTACAGTCTACTATATTAACCCATAATTTTTTTTAGATCGATATGGATTTCGCCCCAGCGTATGATGCAAAGAATTTTATGGAATAATTCGAAAATAATTCTTCGAAGATTGACCAGTTTCTTCTAGCAATAATACAAAAAATGTAAATTCGTTAATTTAATAAATCAAATTCATTAATTCAATGTACTGCGTTCATTAATTCAAAAGCTAAAATTCCTTAATTCAATAAAAGAAATTCATTAAACCAAGATCTAAGTTTCATTGATTCTATGAAAGCATTTCATTGATTCTATGAAAGCATTTCATTGAATCAATGTACTACATTTATTAGAAAAAATCTAAAATTTGTTGAATCAGTGTACACCGTTCATTAAACCAATGTAAAATATTACATTGAATTAATGTACTTCTTTATTGGGTCAGCAACTTTAATTCATCGAAACAATGATTTTCATTTCATCATATCAACGAATTATACATCACTTAATGTACCTCTTCATCGCTTAATGAACAAACGTTCATTGATTTAATGAAATCGTTTATTGGACGACTTTTAATGTAAAAATTTCTTGGATTAATGTATTTTTTCATTATCTGCACGTACTTTTTTGGTTCAGTGAACGTGTACACCTACATTGAAACTCTGTGGGTGATAGAAAAGAGATTGAACGCTCTGAGAATGTTGCTGATCAGCAACACCGATGTTTCTACCATCATTTTTCGAGTGAAGTTCGTTTTCAAAACCATATCAGAAGTTGTGGATAATTTCAATCGCATATTTGGCTATCCAGTCTTCTTAGTTGCCGTTCATCTGTTCCTCATCGCTTTGCAGAACCTGGTGCTCCTATCGCCTTTTATACTTCGAGGGGAGAAGTTTCGAATTGCATTTCTCACTTACCTCACGGATACAGTACTGTTTTCGGTAGGAGTTTTTTTTAATTACCTGATTGGATTAAGTACCGATAATAATCGCTCAGAGAGGGTAATAAATTCGTGTTCGATTTATCACCTTCGAAAATCGATAACTACCTAGGTATTTACTGTTTCATAATATTCTTTGGGTGATTATTATTTAAAATACTGTTGTTTTTTCCGTATGCACTATACATAATTGATCCATTTGGTACGTATAATTTGTCGGTAAACGTGTCGAATAGTTTAGTGTTTGTATCAAGAGTTATCCTACGAAGTGTATCAACAAAATGTTGGCTAAATTGTATAAAACCGATATAAAAATGATGGAGTTTTATTATAAATGCGGTGTATTTGCGGGATTGTATCCGAAACGAATCAGAATTAACTTCAAATATATCTCGCATCTCGTCTTTTTTACATTATATTTCTTCTTCTTTTCACTAAATGGTGTACACAGGATTTTCGTAATTAATAACAAATTTTCACTCAACGGTGTTCATCTTTATATGATATTTGTTCGTAGTGCATTGTCAATAGCGCTTTGCTTTGTATTTTTATTGTGTCTATTTAGATACAAATACGCTTGGTTAAAATTATTCAAGAGCCTGCTGCAGTTAAACAAAAAATTAAAATTCCATGAAGACCGAGCGCACGTCATAAAATGGGGAAAAACGAAATTGTTTCTCATTATAACTGTCATGGAAGTCTACAGTTATTGGAACTTGAGTCACTTCAAAGATAATGCAATAACCAATATGATTTGCGTTTTTTTCCGTAAAATTAGAATGGTGATATTGATAATAACGTTTAGAGAAATCACATTGATCATCGAACACAAATTGATAACATTGCAAATTGGACTGGAGAAAATGGTGAAAAGCAAACAGCATTTTCTCGGCTTTTTATCCACTTTTCGAAAATGCTATTCGATTATTTACCAATCTATAAGGACAACCAACACCTTATTCGGAATGTACATTTTACTTATAGCAGCTGAATTTTTATTCAGTTCGATAGAGAATGTTGATATAATTATCCTCAATGTGATTTATGATGTTAAAAATAGCATATGGGATAAACTTGCATATGGAACACCTTTCCTTTTCTCATTTGTAAGTACACCAATTTACTTAAAAGAATCTACTTACTACTGTTATTGTTAATTTATTCAAAGAATTGTGTTATGATAAATTGTTTCTTCTATGTGCACTATCGATAATTAATGCATGTCTATATATGTGTTATGGGGAGCTTTTACTATTATCGTGTTTGTATTAAAAGCGAGAGCTCGGTTTCCTACGAGGTATTAAAATGTTAAGTGAATTATGTGAAAACGACATGAAAATATTGAAGTTATGCTACAACTGCGGTGTATTTACTGGATTATATCCGATAAGAGCAAAAAATAAAGCCAAATATATCGCACAACTAGTCATCTTTAGCTTATATTGTCTTCTTAATTTATCGCTAAGCATATACAAGACTTTCGCAGATAAAAAAAAGTACTCAATCGAAGGTATATTCTTGTATTTCTTATGGTTTCGCCATGTGATTCATGAAACGATGGGTTTGATATTTTTTTTGCAACTTTTTAGCTCCAAATATTATTGGTGTATGTTGTTTGATAACTTGTGGAAGGTTTGCAAAAAATTGAAATTTCACGAAAACCAAGGGTTTCTTAAAAAAATGGGAAGAATGAAAGTGATATTAAGTATTGCTTTAATGGAAACGTACGGTTTTATACGGGCGTATTATTTTGAAGAAATCTCGATCATAAATGGGCTTTTCATTATTATCAATTACGCAAGATTAATGATATTTTTAGTATCTTTTGTTGAAATTACATCAATCGTCGAACATAAATTACTCACCTTACAAAATGGCATAGAAAATATGGTGAAAATAGGATCTCATTCGTCCAGCTTTCTACCCACTTTTCGAAAATGCTATTCGATTATTTACGAAACCGTCGACATTACAAACACCTTATTCGGAATGTTTATTCTCTTTGTAGCAACTTCATGTCTATTCGATTCAATCGAGAATTTCGTTATTCTCATTCTTAGACAGATTTACAATACCCAAAATTCTTTTTTGGAAACAACTATGAGTGGAGCACCTTTAATTTTATCATTTGTAAGTTAAACATGTTTTCATCATGCACTATAATATGCATTTCGTTTTAAAACAATTCGTATTTTTTGATCGATTTTAATACAATAAAGTTAATTAGAAGGTATAAATATTAATATTAAATATATGTATGTAATAAGGCATTTCTGATGTTATAACAATAATTTGAACAATCCAATTTATTTACTAGTGATGATTAATTATCACAAGTGAATATACATAGATAAATATTATTTGTTTGTATCGAATGTAGTTTGAAAGTGACGGACACGGCTGTATCAAATAAAATTAATTGAATCGCCATTGCTCATTAAGCAAATTTAGTAGTGTGAAAAATGGCGGAAGACCCTTTGAAATTGTTGCGGTTTTATTACCGTTTCGGCGTTTGCATCGGCATTTATCCGCTAGAAACGAAAAGCAAATTGAAATTAATCGGGTTTTTTACAGTTTTCTTTGTGTATAGCATTTTAGATGCAGGGCATATCGCCTACGGCGTATCCACAGTATCACATAATTTATCATTAAAGGGGTTTGATGTGTATTTGTTGTGGGCCCGCCAGATTTTATATTTTGGTTTCAATTGCTCACATTTGCTGATTGGTGTTTTGTACAGAAAAAAGTGGATCTCGCTTTTCAAGATGCTCCTGATATTAGACAAAAAATTGAAGCTTTACCAAGTTGAAGTGTACACGACTAAATGGAGAATATTTCAATTAATTTTAATTATTGTAGTTGCACAAGGAGTTTCATTATTTATTTTAATTCAATTCGAGATAAGTTATTTTCTTAATGTGTTACTTACTTCTATATGGTTAACAAGAGCAATAATTATATTAAAAACATTTAGAGAATTGTCGAATGTTTTGAAGTACTATATGAATAATTTGGAAGTTGTTTTAGAGAAAACAGTGGAAAATTACCTTATAACGTACTCTACACACGCTTTAATAACATTCAAAGAATCATACGCGCTACTCTATAAGTCTATCGACGCGATTTCAGGTTTATTCGGCTATTTATTTTTACTTATGGTTTTCCAATTTTTCTGCGAGGCCTTACAAGAGGTCGAACTCCTCGTACTAATGGAACTTTTCTTACCGCATGTAACAGACATACTATCGTTCGCCTTACCGTTAGTTTTCCTTATCGTAAGAAACGGAATGCAACACATCCAAATCGTTTAATCGACGTTACTTTTTCAGATTTACCTCGTCAACATCGCCTTTTCCAGCGAGAGGATTCCGAAAGCGGCGGATAATTTGATAAAAACCTGCTATCTCCTGCACCCCGACGCCCACGATCGCTATCTCACCAAAGAGCTGACGGACCTGTCCGTTTTCATGAAGGAGCTATTTCCCGAAATCTCCATGGCCGGCTGGTTCAAGATGAACAAGAGCTTCATTCTGGCATTGATTTCCAGCCTCACCTCGTACATTATCATCGTCATACAATTCCAGATGACCACCTAAATTAATTTGTTTGTTATACAGGGTGTTAATTAATTGAGGGCCGATACTTTAGGACGGGAATATTTGGGATGATTATAAGAAAAATAGTTTGTATCAATATATGTTCTAAACCTCTTAGTTTTCGAGCTACAGGGTGTTACAGTTTTGTAAAAAAACTTTTCTATCATAATTCACACAGAAAGTATATTATTCAGAATATATATTCATGCAGAAAGTAAGTCTTCGGACCGAATTTGCTCCAAAATAAATGAGGATTTTAAATATAATTTTGGTTTTTTGATAAAGCAGTGGCGTACCTTTTTTTCTTCAAACATATTCAGTTCAAACCCCGTACGGACGTCACTGGTCACCTTTTTAAAAAATCTTTTGCCTCAAAAATGCACCTTAATATTAAAAAAGTGTGTACAAAATTTCTTAAAAATATCTGGAGTAATAAGAAAATTATGATAAAAAAGTCATTTTTTTCTGAAATTTTAACACCCTGTAACTCGAAAACTAAGAGATTTAGGACATAAATTGATATATACTTTTCTTCTTAAAATCATCCAAATATTCATATCCTGAAGTATCCGCACTCAATTAATTAACACCCTGTATTCGTTATTTAGAATACACAGGTTATTATAATATTGAATATGTTATAATATGAATACATGTTAGTTTGAAAATCGTTGCTTTTTAATTTATAAATAATTAAAGCGAGTCCAAATTCACTTGGTTTACCGTTTTCTTTTCTATTTATTTAGCTATTTCATGATTTTTAGTGTATGTAATGGGTTAAATTAGGTAGTATTTGTTTATTTAGCGGTTGTTCCTCAATATCCCGTCCTGTAATCGTGCAGATATACGCCGGCCCGAAAGTTTGATCAAGCCATAAATTCAAAGGGTAAAATCTTATCTCGTCCCGATACATTCTGGGTTAGTTATATCGAATTTAATTAGCCCTTGGTCCACTACGAGTCATTTCCTCGCAAAACGGTCCACCAAGGGGCCCGGCCGGTATCTCGTGATGGCCAGTCGGACGTTGGATAATGTCAGGAAAGTCGTTTCAACTTGGTCAATCCTTTAAAGGGGACATTACTCGCGTCCAATTGCCCACTAAATTGGCCCTATCTTGACACCTTTACTACAATTTAGGGCGCTCTTATGCCGCGACGGTTCGGACGACACGTCTCTTTCCAGCGCCTCGATCCAGAGTTTAAGCTAATGCCTTCTGCTTTATAATATTACCGGGGCCGTCACATTCCGGGAACTATCTCTGTTTGCAGGATTTCGAATTGAATACTCTTTATTACGGCGAAGATTAGATAAAGGACCGTCTTTTATTCCTGATTGACCACACTCCTATACACGATGATGTCTACACTTACTTTATATTTTCTAAAAACTTTAGAGAAATATTTAGCACTATAATATACTGAAGGAAGTGAGTAATTCGTTGGAAAATATCGAGTTGGAATTCCGGAACGGAATCCGCACGCGACCGCCTCTCATAATGTAAATATTTGTACCCCTTTAGAGGGTAATCGAGCGTAGAAGGGTAGTTTTTAGCGGTGCATTCGAGTACATCAATCGGCGTGTCGCGAGCGTGATATGCGAATATCTACTTTATGGGCCACCTGTTGATCGTCTCCCCGACGAGCCGCCCCCCGCCCGTCCTCCGGCACGCCGTCAACCTCTAATCCACCTCTCGGCGGATGCCGCCGCCGCAGCTTTAACCCTGCACTTGACGAAAATCGCCGCCGATAACACGCGAAAATCTTGTTTATCTAATGTAATGCCCAACTAATAATTTCATCTACATAAATATACCATAAAATATACCAATTTAAATCAAATAATGTACCAAAAGAGAGAATATTATCCATGGTAGAGGTACTTGTTGTAATCTTTCTGGGTCCTTTTACCTCCTTTTGACTAAGGGCGCCACTTCAGGGTATTTTTAAATGGGAAAACATAGGTTCAGTATATCCAGTAAAATTCAAATTTGGCTTTATCAATTGATTTGAATCTTTCTTATATCTAATATAGAGACTCCAAGCAACGATAAATTCTATTTTTAATCTTTCCTACTTCATTATATATTTAAGAAAATTGCAATCAAAAACTGCCATTTATTTGCAATGCTATTTAAATGGCAAAACGTAATTCTAGTAAGAATCGAGTTTTTTTGAAAGGATGTGTGAATAATTTTAGTAGGATGAAGAATACTTATTATAGAACGATGTCTCCTAGTTTATATTAATCCACAGGCTGTATTAAATGGAAAAAAAAACTAATTAAAGCACTTTAGCAAATGATGATGATAGATTTCTGTAAATTATGGTGTCGCCTGACATAAATGTCAAATCACAGAACAATTTTGTAAATTTGACTAGCGACAGCGGTGCCAGTAGTTTCCGTTTTTCAGATTTTGGATAATTTGCTCTTTGTTAAGGGTAGGTAATATGAAATAAGGTATTGCACCGGAATACTTTTAGAACACTTTAATGAATATTTTTAAAACTCTACTTTTCTCTTTTCAAATTGCAGGGAAAATAATTGAATTTAAAATATTTTGAAAAGGATATCTTATTTTACTTTCTTGTACGTTTGATTTTATGTCAAGTGTAATCAAACACGGAACATCTACTAGTGAGTTAAACTAATCTCATCCCATCTATTGTGGAAAAATTTAATCAAAAATAGTTCTATATTATCCCACGAATTATGAATTTGAGGGCGTGCTTTGGCGGCCTTAAGCATTACAATACATCTTTTAACTGATGTCTCTAAACAACAACCAATCTTTTTGGATACCTTTAAATTTAATAATATCTATTTCTAAAATGTTGACTTCAAGAATCGCCAGCTAGCGTTGGCGCATTTTCCAATAGGGTATATTTTCCGGGAGATTCATTTCAATAATATGAATAAATATAAGGTGAATCCGGGCTCAGTCTAATGAGCGCCAGTTAACGTCCTCTTCCTGAATCACGACGCAATTGGAACAATTTGCGACTCGAAATAACATTAAAATCTGTCGCAGGAAAAACGTAAATCAGGCTTTGCGTCCGACGAGTCTTGTCCCACTTCTGCTCTTCCTCTTCTTTTCCGCTGGCGCTTCGTCCGGGGTCTCTTTTATTGCCTGCACGGTAGCAACGTTTTTACAATCGTAAAAATCGACGACTCCAGTCAAATTATTGCACTTTAAATTAGTTGATAAGAGCAATATTCGAGCGCACAACGGGAGTATAGAGGTGCGTGGAAAAGTAACGGTTACTCTTAGAACAACGTCGGGGTAGGGGCGGAATCGATATTTTTAAATTAAAAATTATCCATCTAATCGCCTACGTTAGGTGTACATTCCGGCTGAACTTTTCTTTTTAATTAATACTCATCAAACTGAAAAGTTTTTATCGGTCGGCGCAATGTTCGCCGTGAATTGTGATCAATGTTTGCTGAGGCCGAGGAAAAAAAGAGTTAAAAAAGTTCTTAATTCTCGCGATAATTTCCATTATTAGGCGGATATCAGAGTAGCACAGTCGCTCCGGTCCAGGACCGGACTGCTTCGATACTTTCGGAACAGGGCACTAAATCTGGAGAGTGAGGTGGATGGAGCAGCTTAATAAAATTCACTAATAGATGCAATGTGGTATAAACACAACTAGATTAGGATAGCAAGAAGAATCCATGAGGTTGGAATTGAAAATTGATTTCGTATGTAGATACATCCCTGGAAACCAACGAAGGCGCAAAAAAAACAACACAGCTGTATGCAGTTTATGTAAATAATGCAGATGAGATTTTTCTCGTCTCTTCTCTCTCCTCCTCGGCCATAAACTAAGGCGTTATCCTTTGCCGCGAAGTTAGCTACATTTCCTTATTAAATACCGCCGCCGCCGACTAATAAGATCTGTAAGAGAGAATTGCCTCGTTTGTCACACCTTAATGGGCCGTGTCGCTCCAGCATTCTTCCCCGGGATCTCTCCCACGTCTGGTGAAAAATATTTTACGGCCGTTTACACTGCGAGAAACGTTATTACATATCGCACGTTGAGCGTTTGATAGAATACCACATGGGTTTTTTGGTGTCTATTAAAAGACAATACATTAACGTGTTGCTGCTCAGGTAGCATTTAAGCCTCATTAGATATATCACGGCGGGTCTCTAAGACAAGCGGAGTGAACTAGTGAAGTGGCATTTTAGAAGACAAAGAAGAGAGCTTACAGTTGGCAGGAAGTGTTGATCTACTCTTCCCCCAGGACGGAAAATTATACACCCGCCGCATATATGAACGTACAACCACGGACTGGGCCATTATTCAAACTATACACCCTTTAAATTTGTTGCTCAAGTTGCTAACTAAATTACCTCGTAAATTCTTGTTTATATTTATCGTTACCGAAATGAATTTGCTATTCATTAGACGAGCGAATGCACTAACTGACGCGCTGACCTAATTCCGGATTAATCCGGGTAACTTCTTACTGAACGTTCGAAATTAAATATATCCATCGAGCAAATGCATTTCATACAGACAAACGTCTCCGGAAAATTTTAACTATCATTTTTTCGGGTAATTATTCAAAGCGTTTTCACGCCTAGCGGCGCAATTCCCGGTCGGGAAAAAAGCCCGCAAAATAAATATTTGAAGTTAATTACTTTTCCAGTGGAAATTCAACCGATAGCGAGCGAAGTTGGGAATCGTTCTTGGCGTATTAATCACAAAACAATAACCCTAAAAATTAATGGCCCATAGATTGAACTGAAAGTTGAATAATAAGTCGGAGGTATGGCATCGCGGTAGCGGTAGCCGTATCGGTAAGCCTTTTGCATCGACTTTAATTCCCCAACGGCCAGGACCGAAGAAGGGTTAAATCGGATTTCCGGCGTGAATTTAATCCTACCATTTTCTATTAACACTTCCGATTCATCTAACTATTCCGTTCATTTTTCATCAAGTGCATCTTAACATTACCTCTATAGGGACGTTGAAGACATTTTAGACATTGGAACGAAAATTTAATACAATTAACTATATTATAAAAAAATTAATAGCTAGAATCCAATTTATTAGTATACTACATACAAGATGAGTGTTACATGTGTACCAAATGTAGGTGAGGATAATATTAAGTTTCATTTAGTATTTAGTAAGACAAAAGGCCGGTCCTGGATGCTCCGGCGTTTCCGTTATAAAATCAACAATCGCTCAGATAAGGTCTTTGTTCGCCATTTTCGGTGGGCCCATTCGTCATTCCGGAATTGTGCAAACGGGCGAAAGTACAAATCATGTTTAATTGCATCAATGCTCCGGCCTACAGTTTTCCTTATTCGCTCCACTGCTAAATCAAATTTATGGATAAACTTAATTTCCTTCCAGACTTCATAGTGTTTAATTCTAACCCATTATTTGCTTTATTGCCGCTGAACTAAATAAGCTTCGCGAAGCTTGAATTACTTTTCGAACTGCGAGACGCCGAACGTTGTTTCTTTGAGTTTGTTGTTGTGTATTCGTTTCCTACGATCATCTAAATATGTTCCAGTAAATATCTTTTGATTGATAATTAAAAATCAATTGATCTATGCCCATATTTAGAAGTTTCGTATAACCAATGACATTCTGTAACCAACCAAAAACCGACCGTTAAATTTCAAATCGGTAGTCGAAATAACCAATAACCGGTTGGTTATATCAAATTTAACCAATAACAACATTTCAACATAATAAAATTAGATAAGTAACTACATAAGCATTTATTAATTTTAACCGAGCGTATAAGATCAAAGAAGTAAGTACCAAAACTTATCCAAGTCTCAATTGTATAATGATTATAATGTACGTGCTTAAACTGGATAACATAACTGGCAAGAAATGTTTGCCAACATCGATATAACCGCTTTGCCACAAACTAGGTCGGAGTTCTTTAAAAAAGTCCGCTAACACAGGAAGTTGTTGGCCCAAAAACGGATTCTGGTTTCGTATTTGCAGAAGATAACACGTTTCTATTAATTCCGTCGATTTTTCCTGGATTTTTTCGTAAGAGACCAATATCATGATCGTGAATATCTACAAATAAAATACAAATTACAAACATACATCAGTTTTAACACATCCATAAATCAGTAATATTTACACTTAGCTGTAGAAGGTAAGAGGTAATGCATGATAAAATGATGTTGTAATTAACCATTGTTTGATAGAAAATGTACCAACTGGTCGC